ACATTACTCTCGTTTAAGCAGTCGTCATCCTGTCCAGGCTTAAGTATTCTGGTCAGTCTACACTAAAGGAGAGGAGCACTGGACTCGAGTTTCGCTCTTATTAAAGCTCATCAGCAGTGCATATCCAATGGTCCTACCGGGTTTCGAACTCCGGACATCTGACATGCGAGGCGAGCGTCTTACCACTGTTTTACCGATCAGGTGACATGATTTGTGCTACAGGTGGAGAAGAATGCCTACTGCCCTATAGACTGAATGTACCCACCAAGTTCGTTCGTTGCATCGAAAAGTACGGGTCGCTTGAAGGTCTTAAGGCGCCGGCGATGGAGCCACTCTGGTGGGATTCGTATGAACCAGTAGGACCTCCCCGTGACCGAAAATTGTCGATTCATACTCGTCTGTAATGTGTAGAATCTCTGTTCAGCATGTCCCCAAGCATGACACGTTGACATTTACCGCAACGTATTCCTACTTTTTTCCGGCAGTGATATCTTCGACGCAATGTTCCCCGTTCATCGCAACCCAGGTGATGTCATTATTCAACAAGGCGATGAAGGTGATAATTTCTACATCGTTGATCAAGGCGAAGTAGACGTGAGTACCTGTATGCCACCGACAGTTTTCCAGGTTTATATCATTTCGACATTGGTTATAGTTGGATTACCGGCTCGTATTTCGTCTGTTTGCTTCTGGTTGCTGCGCACGGAGTGTTTGTTGCGCGACTTGACGGCCATGAGAAAAAATCTGGTTCCTCAACAATTTGCTTCAGAATTGTACTGGTTTGACACTTGCCTAACCCGGTTTCCGGTCACCTCAATACGGCTACCAGGATTTCTCACTACTTGTCACCAGACCACAAGTTGTTTTCTTACTTGTCCCAACTCTTACTGGAGGCTTTGAAACTTCCTCCGTTTGTATTTTGGACCAACTGAAGCACACTCTACCTTGCCTTCTCACTGTACCCCATAATCCGTGGTTGCACTTCCCCGATGGTGCCATATGGAAACCGCATCCCTACAAAACCCTGCCTTTTGGCCCAAGATGGAAAATTTTCCCGATTTCATCATTGTTTGTATCTCGAAGAGTTACTGCGTTGAAGTTGCCGGATAACCAGCCTTCATTTGTTAGAAACAGTCCCCGACTTCTTACTGCGAAGGTATTCAGGCAGATGGCCCAAGTGGTTAGAGGGCGAATTTACTGACCGAAAGGTTCGTAGTTCGAACCCGACCTCTGCCTGTCGACTTCCCCTGTCTAGGCTTGGACAGGCTGGCAGTATCCCAGCCCTCGTGCAACCTTCGGGTGGCATGGCAGTCAGGCACCGAAGGGGTGCTACAGTTGGACGATTTTTTTTCAGGCAGATTTATTACGCTGGTCACCACGCGTTTTCTTCCTCATTTCGCTATCTAGTTGTTCAAATTGACTAGGTTCGATTTTCGCTCGTCTTCTATTCATTTCTGTGCACAATGTGTGTATCAAGGTACAGATCTGCACAACTATTGATCAGGGTTTCTGTGCACGGTCAGCTTTCGAGCACACGGATGAGATGCTTGCGAAAACCGTACTTGAAACGACGGTTTGTTGGACTGTTGCTGGTGAGCATGGTCGAAATTAACAGAAACTTCCACCTTGACGTGGTGGTCGCGCTTGAGTGACTTGCTGGCTTGCTCCATGCGGTTTAATTACGCCAGGATAGCGAATGAGGACCAGTCAGGCGAGAGGCAGCGAACCCCCAAACAATGAGTAACCGTATTACGAGTCGGTTTGGAGACGAGGTCCTGCTATCCTACACAAATGGAGTATGATTTCTTTAAAGTGTTTCGTCGAGGCGGCCAGCATCTCCATATCTGGAGGCAGTAATACTGTTTCCGTCCGAAGAAAAACGGGTGAGAAAAGATCGTCATTAAAAACGTAACTCGATCCCGATTATGTCATTGTACGGATGGTTTATCAGTTCGCTTCCTCTCAGGATCATACAGGCCAGGGCAATCGCTCATCAAAGAGGAGAAGGAAGTTATGCTGTCCACTTTTTGACTGTCTACAGAAAGCATTCGACTCGACTAAATGACCACCGGATTTCGTCAAGGCCAACGGAAGTCACTGTGACGCACGCGGACCCTTCAAACGATTTATGATCAGCCAAAAAAGACGGAGTGTTGCTAGACTGTAAACGTCTAAGAAATGAACAAGGCTTTGTTTAGAAAAGAATCCGCGCTCCATTTCAGCCGAACTGATAAAAGGAACGCGGTTGTCAGTGAAAAGACTTGTAAAACAGATTAAACGACAATGCATTCGCATAATCGCTCTTTTGACCAGTAGATTGGCCACTTCAGAGAACGATTTAGTTGGCTCTTCTCAAATCAGTCTCTGAGGTGCTAGTGCCTCATTGGGGCGTACAAACATTAAGTACGCAGGACACATTGTTCTCGGTGATTGAGATGCTTTAGAAATGCGTCATTTTTAATGATTTAAATAGTTATACTTTGGATATACCTTTGGATTATACCTTTGGATATGGGCTTCACAACTGCAAGGTGTAAAACACCACAAGATTGGATGGAGTCAAAACAAAACCTTTTGTTTGCCGCACTGTTATCTATCCTACTTTATGGATCAGGGACGTGGCTGCTGTGCGCAGTTCTTCGAAGAGCCTCTTGTGTATGAGTATCAGTGTCTCCGAAGCATTGGCCGGCTCCGGTAGGAATTTCGCATCATTGGTGCTGAGATATGGTGGGTGGTTTTCAGGAAAATTAACCTTCCGTCGTCAAATCCGCTGGTCACACTTCATAGGTTACGCTGGCCACAACGTGTACATCGTATACTGGAGAATGGCGCTGGTCACACTTCATAGGTTACGTTGGCTACAACGTGTACATCGTATACTGGAGAATGGTTTGCCCCGCACATCCGTCGCCGCCTAACCACAGGTCGGCCGGAGATTAACCAGGGGTGTTTGGTCGGTGCCTTAGAAACGAATCATGATAGCTTATATCGGTCAGGTCAGTCGCATTGACAGCTGACATCTCCCCGACTGGGCCAACGGCACAAACCAGTGGTCATTGATCCCGACAGGTTTGATCCTCTCACTTAGCCAGCGATTAGACCGCGTCAAAGCTGTTGTCTTCATTGCGTACTATTCCTTCTTTTTTATCAAACAAGCAAAAAATTTGGTCTAATTGAACTAATGGGGTCTCCAACGTGTGGCCATCATTCCTTCATTCTCTTTATTTTCTGTGAGAGGCACTGTCTGAGTGGTAGTATCTATTCCTGGTGTACTTTCATTTGGTGTGATGTAAATCAGGAGGACCGCAAAGAGCCTGAATGGAACTTCGGCACCAGCTCGCCACTAACCTCCTGAGTTATTGTCTACCGACAATAATGTTAAGTACTGCCGTATTACAGAGTAATGGGGCAACTGTTACTTGACACAGAGGTATGAAGCTGAAAGTGTAAGTTCGATATTGCCCGGCGTTTATGGTGCCATCATAGTGACCGGAACGTCTGTGGTTCGAACCCAACTTTGGCTTTCAGTTGCTGTTGCCCATGCTTGGCCATCGACTTCAACCCGTGTGCCTCGTTTGTGCTGAATGACAGGTGTGTACTAAAAGAGTACCATAGCTGAACAGTTATTTGTTATTACAAAAGTGTGACCAATGTAGGCTCCATTTGCCCCCTCGAATGGAGGCCGCATGGCTGTCACTCTTCTTCACTGGAAGTACTGCAAGATATAACTACGAATTCATATGAGTGGCATTCTTGCTTTTAGTTCCTGTCGAAAGTTTCCGAACGAGATTTGGAGGTGTTCGCATATCGTATTGTTTTCAAGAGACCAGCATGGGTTCCCTTTTCATTACAACCTTGTCGTTTTTCACAAAGGCATTGTGGGATAGAGAAGCATCGATTCCCAAGTTAAGTGTCCCTGTCGATGACAATGATGATGGCGTTATCCCGTTATGTTAACATACCATATTTAAAGCCTATTCATGTGGTTCATTTCATGGTTTGTGTTATCGCGCAGATATTTGTCAATAACGAATACAGCAGCACGGTGGGTGAGGGCGGCAGCTTTGGGGAATTGGCACTGATCTACGGAACCCCACGAGCGGCAACCGTCAAAGCGAAAACCGAAGTCAAGCTTTGGGGTATCGACCGGGATTCTTACAGGCGAATTCTCATGGGTAGTACGATTCGTCGTCGAAAGATGTACCAGGAATTTCTATGTCGAGTTCCCATCTTGGGTACGTTTGTCTCCGATTTCTGGTTATCGAATATTTCCTACTCTTTATTACTAAATCGACTTTTACGTGAGCGTATGAATGTCAATTTGTCCTAGCTACCGATTTTCTCTTGCTTTAATCAGTTTTGGCGTGGAAAAGGATAGAAGTGTGACTTGTTTTCTTATCCGCATCGCAACTAAATACGGACAACTTGTGTGAAATCACGCAGTATTCTCACTTTCATAGCAACCCTCACAGTTGGTCCATATTTCCGTTTCAAATCTATACCCCAAGCAGCAGCACCTTTGGACCGATCAAATTTATTTCTCATTGAAGGCCTCCGCCACTGAGAGGCAGAAGCCGTTAGTTAAAGTCATCCTCGTTCTCTGCACGTCTGTAGTGGGAATTGAAGATTGAGGTAACTCCGAGTGGTACTAATCATTTAACTTAGGCAAAAGGAATCCTTGTTACAATGGTCGATGCGAACAGATGAAATTATGTTTTCTGCGTAAACGCGACTGTTAACCATTTTTCTCACCTTGATATTGCTCACGTGATGGCGAGGATAATGCACCAATGCGTATTTGTGCACAGTAGATGGTATTTATGCAATATACTTAGTATGTCGGACAGCACATACAAAGAATGGACCCGCAATAAGTGTTAAATGCCTTCAGCATATATCATTACTTGCTTGTGCGGGGGCGAGATGGTCCAAGTGGTTAGAGCGCGAATTTACTGACCGGAAGGTCCCTGATTCGAATCCGACCTCCGCCTTCCCCTGTTTAGGCTTGAGCCACCTGGCAGTATCCCAGCCCTCGTGCTTCCTTCGGGTGGCATGGCAGTTAGGGCATGGAAGGGTGCTACAGCAGAACGCTTCTACTTGCTTGTGTGTTGTTCCTTGGAATCCGCCTCAGTCCCCCAATGCAACCCACGCCGTTGCATGTCACGTAGAACACGATTAGGGGTGTCCGAGGAGACTTGAATAATCCCGCGGACCCATTAGGTATTTTTGGTTCCGAAGTGAGGGGAATACTGTGATCGATGTTGTTATTTTGACAACCTCCAAACGGGTCCCTGGATAACGGATCGGATAACTGTGGTGTAATCTTCCTTACTTCTAACCTTTTGTAATCTATGGTTACTTCAGGACTGCAGAAAGTTGGTCGACTTTTGACAGACCTGCCAGCATGAGCAATGTCTTCTATTAGTTGCCTAAGACCCGAAATCGTTATCCACTGAACCCTCCTGAATTCCATCCTCCATTAACGTCCAAGCGGATAGCTGCAAGTAACACTCACTCACCAAATATCCGTATAACTGGGCAAATAATTCTTACGGTTTTCAACGTAGTCGTGTGCTTTTTATTCACTTCAACTCATACCCAACTCCCAAGTATCGCTGTCTTAACCAGTTGTTGACTTTATATCAGCTCTAAGTTTGGTTTTACTTTACTTTACCGGTAATGTAGATCTGTGTAGTGTTGAACTTCTCTCTGTACTGACGCCAGAATTGAATTGGCCATGCCCGGATCAGTATGTCTGGTCATGTAAATTTATCTGATTCACGCCTCACTTTACTGTATAGTGTACGTCCATCCGCAGTTGTGGCAGTGATAGTGTAGAAAGAATGGTGATGTCAGTGTATGCAGCTACACCGTTGGGCTCGAGGTATCTCAGTAGTTGGGGATCGAAACTTCTACCTGCAAAGTCCGTGGTTCGAACCCAATCCTGGCTTCTGGATTGTTTCTTCTAGACTTGAGTAATCTGGCAATACCTTAACACTCGTGCTCCCTTCTAGTTTCCCTGTAGCTGCGTATCGAAGGGGCAACACAG